AGTGTTTTGGCGCCCAAAGCCCGGGCCACTCGAAACCTGGACGCCTTGTGTCGCGAACTGTGCCCTCGATTGGAGTATTTCGTGTGCTTTAGCAGGCACTCGACGCCAGCGCCTTTGAGGCCAGTTTCATCAATACCAAAGCGGTTAAGTCACTACCTTTCCCACACGCTTGCCGCCGCTCGCGAGCCTGAGGTGCCTGACCGGTATGTCACCCCGCCTAAGCCGCTGCAGCCACAACACCGGCTCTGATACCCGCCGTTACTCCGCCAGTAGCCGCCATGCAATGGCGTCGCGTACGTGAGTACAGACCGGTGAAACCTGATAACGGAAGTCCGGTTACTGGTGAGGGTTATCTCATCGGTGGTTAGGGCTGACTATAAGACGGAAGCGAGTGGTAAGAAGGGTAGTCTCATGAAGACTATCGCCCATATACTGGGTCTCAAAGACTACGCCAGTCTGGACGCCAGCGTAACCCTCGGCGAACTCGGTATGGACTCATTGATGTCGGTTGAGGTGAAGCAGACACTGGAAAGGGATTACGACTGTGTCCTGTCGATGGAGGACATCAGGCGATTGACTGTCCGCCGAATCGCTGCAATTGATCAACAAAATCATGATAATAATAATGGCGACAAAAGTGGCCAATTGTTGAGCAGTCAAGACTCGCCGGTCAATGACTTTACGTTCACTGTTGCGACCGATAGTGTCGAGTATATCAATGAGGGAAAGACCGGACGACCGGTGATACTACTGCCACCGTTGGACGGGTCGTACGGTTTGCTCAACGATTTGGTCGCCGCTATGGATAGGCCAGTAATTGGTCTCAATTGGACTCACGATTGCGGGCCATTGGTTACCATTGAAGACACGGCTCGACATTATCTCAACGTAATTGACGAAAAGCTGAAAAATTTGGGCAATGATTACGATTTGATGGGCTATTCGTTTGGCGGATGTGTGGCCTACGAGATGGCCGTCCTTTTACAGCAACGGCCGCAACAACTGTCGGCCGACACCAGACTTATACTATTGGACTCATCGCCCGTTCAGTTTGGCATATATGCCGACGAAGTGATGAAAAAGTATCAATTGTCTGACCATAAGAGCCAAGAGTTGGAGACTCTGATGACATTCCTCGCCCAATACGTGTCCGTCGACTACAAGTCCGTCAGAGAGACTCTGGAGAAGACACCGGCGGAGGAAAGGGTGGAAAAGGTGTCCCAAATCTTTCTGTCATCGATGCGCAAAAATATGGATCAAATGAATGGTGTGACCGAAGAATCAGTTGAATTCATTGCCAAGAGTTTCTCAAACAAGTTATTAATGCTAAACACGTATAGCGTTTGCAATAAACAACGGTTTGGCGGCGAGAATGGCGTGAAGTTTGCAAACGATTTGCTTTTGATTAGAGCCGAAGACAATATCGTTAACAATAAGGATCTCATCAAACATGACTACGGATTATCTCAAGTAAGCGATTATCTAATTAATAATTACCATGTGCTAAAAATTGACATTAATATAGTTTTTTTTAATTAAATATCATATGTTAGAAACTTATGACATTTTTATGCATAACTAAAGTGTAAATTAGGGACAAAATAAATGTTTAAATGGTTTTCCCATGATGGGTTTGATTTCTTTTATACCCAATAAATGCTTTAATTATTTTATAATTATTGTAAAAATTTTAAGAAATTTGTCTATTTTTCAGATAATTGGCGGCAAATGTATAACACATATAATGAAAGGCAATCACAAGAGTTTTTTGACTATAAATTGGCAACAAATCAGTGAAATTGTAAACGACTATTTGAATAATGATGATAAAAAGTAACCATGTTCAGACTAGCTTGATGTGAAGGCTGCAAATTATCTAGGGAGCATAGAAAACATCATGTTATAAATATGGTACGATTTCAAATTACTCGTGGTTTTTATATAATATTTTTAACATTGTACTAACAATTTTTAAAATTATTTTTGCATAACTTTTATATTTTTAAATATAAACCAATAAAATTTTTAACTCAACAAATGTCTGGTTTTGAAAATAATCATCTCTTTTGCTGTCAGACACACAAAAGGTTTTATTAAAAAACCAAATAATGGTTAACATGTGTCGAGAAAAAACATAATTAAAAACAAATTTTAAATTTAATTTACATTATTTTATTTTTTAGGCAAACATTCGTTACATTTTTATACAATTATTTTCATAAAAATTTTTATAAGTTATTTTGTACTAATTATTTTATACTAACTATTATTTGATGAATTAATTAGACAAATTGATTAATTAATTAATTAACATAATTATCACATAAGCAATTCATTAATTTTAAAATCAAATGTATCGGTCATTGGGTCCGAATTGGTCAGCAATAGTTCCGATGAATATGTTTTTCGTACACTATATTATAGTAATAAAACAAAAACAACCATGTACACTTTGAACACATAAATTGCATTGATATTAATTAGTGAATACATACTCCGGGTCTATATTACTCATAAAATTTACGTTCACTGCTTTGATATCGATGTCGGGTTTCATTATACCCAACACCGATGTGAACGGATTGAGCACAACTGTGCCCTTGATGAATGTGCCCAACGCTGTCTTCCGGAAGTTGATGGTGGCCGACGTGATTCGACCAAGGTGATTCACATCTGTGTACAGATACGTGAATCGGTCCCTACCCTGGAATGCCAGCGGCTTATTGATTGTGAAATGTATTGTCTTACGGCCCCGCAGTGTCACCGACAGTGTGCCGTCGTATTTGAGTTTGGCCATGTCCAACTATCATTGAGAGGGCAGGGGTGGCACAAAGGGCAGTGTGTTAATTAAGCGAGTTTAGTTAACAATTTTTTGTTTTTTTAATTTTGTTCATTGATTGTATGATTTATGTAAATATTATGTAAATGTTATGATAGTTAATAAACTCCATAATAATTACCACAATCTGGTAGTGAAATACACAGTAGGGAGCGGTGGCGTCGGTCAGGAAGTATAAGTTGGTCGGGTATTTGTCCATCGTTTTGGCCCTGTTATCATCGAGCAGCCACTCGCTGGGCATATATTCAAGTAGTTTACACCGTCCGCCGTCAACGCCACAGTCGCCGCATTTGCCCATTTGAAAGTCTAGGTAACTGTTGCACTCGTAGCCCACCGATTGGCACCGCGTGTGTTCAGCTTTGGCTATGCCCTCAGCGCTGGGCAACTCAGTGGCCCTCATGTGGGAACATGCAACTCGGTTGCCCGCACCTGTTTTGGTCAATCATACAGCTATTAATACTGGCTGTCATTTACTAATTGAGTGCAAACCAAACCCATTAATCCGGTAAATAACATATCGTGGAAAAAGCTGGCAGTGGTCTTCTCACAGCCCGGCTGTCCATTACCTGCAAATAGCCATTAATTTGTGCGTATATAATATCACCGGTTTAATTAATGGTGTAATGTACACCGTATATGTAAAGACATCACTACTGACCTCCGTTTACCCAGAAATCTAAGTGTCCGACACTTCTCTCAGTGCCCGTCACACCGGAAAACTGGACCGACTCTAATGGGTTCACCTCGAATAGACTGTTAACGTTAACTAAATGGACAAAACATAAGTACAATTTGATTACAATTTGACAGGTAATACATTTACCACATTGTAGTATAAATCAAATAAATTTACCTGATTTAAAAAAGCCGGTACTGGTGTGTACGGCGACCACAAAGTCGGCGTCGGTCGGTTCGATACTGACTTTGTCATAGCCGGGTCCGGCCGGATCCAGCGACATGATTAGACCGATCTTCTCGGGCCCCGGGAATTGTTTGCCCACAAAGCCAACCATTTGTCCGCCCAGACTGTGACCCATCACTTCAACTTTGCTGAGCGGGTAATTATACACGGCTTTGATTCGGCGGATAAAATTGGCAACCATTGCGCCCACGACTCGCACGTTGTACGCCGAGTACATATAGTTGGCCGAAACGCCCACTTTATGCCAGTCTATGGCCACCACGTTGTAGTTGTATCGCACAAAGTAGTCCTTTATTCTCTATAATTAACAAATAATGATAATGCAAATGTAATTGTAACCCAAAAATTATATTGATCATTTTGCAATTAAAAGCAATAAAATATATGATCCGTACAGACATCCAGTGACAACTGCCGTAATCATCGCAACCCTTATACCCGTCGATAAAGCCGTGGACCAGGAATAGTGTCTTCCTGTCGGGCGAAAATGATGAGCCCAACAGCGATTGATTGCTGGGATTGTATGTGAACTTAATACTATTGTTGACCGCTTCGGGTGTGAACATGATAAACTCGACGTCCGCGTGTTCCGGATTCACGGGGCATATCATGAACTCGTTGTTCACGACACGGAACTTGTTGTCCTTCATGGCGTTGATGATGGGCCGGGCGTGTGGCACGTATTTGCCCATATCTCGTATGAACGCCCCGCTCTGGAAACAGCCCACGTCTTTGTAACAGTGCCTCTTCAGACCTGACCGGAGAGAGTGGTCGACGTGTCAGTAAAATGATCGTTATGTTTCATAATTCATTTGCATTAGTGTTTATGATAATGAATGCAATTATCGTTTTGCAATTATAGCAATCATACACTTCTCCTATACTCACAATCTGTGGTCTCGAAGAATGCATCGATTCTCGTAAGGCTTACGATAATCACAGCCAACGTTAAAAGTATAGATTCTATGCTCAAACCCATACTTGAATTGATTGTTAATTAACTAATGAATAATATCGTGTCGTTTCCAGCGACAGACAACAGAATATGAGAACCAAGTTGTGATTTTTCACTCAAAATCTTTATGCTCGGGACTGTTAGCAGAGAGAGGGGGAGAGCCTATCAGTGCCCATACCATACGCGCGCCCATCAATCACACCAAATGTCAGACCATTTACGCAAAAAAGGATTTTTTGAATGTATTTTTAAACCTGTGCCGATAATAGTGAATCTGTATATTGGAGAGCCTATCAGTGCCCATACCATACGCGCGCCCATCAATCACACCAAATGTCAGACCATTTACGCAAAAAAGGATTTTTTGAATGTATTTTTAAACCTGTGCCGATAATAGTGAATCTGTATATTTAAAAAATCATGTTAATTTTTATGTAGAGAGTTTCCAGAGTGATTTTTTACTGGTAAACTATTTTACCAACACTTGTTTATATTCATCAAATCGGTGGCTAGGCCTCGATTTTAAAATTTGTGAACATATGGCAACACTACTGTACGCCTGCATAGCCGTACTGTAATTGGATTTATTTTTATTAGAAATGGTGCGATTATAAGCATCACATACTTGTATTAACATTTGGCACATTCTATATAAGCTAATATTGGTATGTTTTGCATTGTTCTAGTGTGTTCATTTCAACTTTCAGTTACTTATGTAATTAAATATATTTACAAATCTATGCATTGGTTTTATTAATAAAATCACAGGAAGATTGCATAACAAAGTAGATTCCTAACCATGAACTCAAATATACCAGTACTCTACGAACATGATAGATATAAATTTATTAACTATAATTGTTAATTATTAGTATTTATAATTGTTTGGTGTTTTTTTTTACTATATTTGTTAACTATTTAAATGTTAATGGATTATCCCTTTATTGAAAAATGCTATTCACTGTCCGATTAATTGTCTGAATCCGGAATCAAATGGGATGACTAACTCTTACAAATGATATTAAAACAATAGCATTAATGTAAATAAAATTCATTTTAATATAATGTAGAGATTATTAAAAATATCGAGAAAATCCATGCCTTTTATCAATATTGTTAACGACGACAACATTAATATTAAAGACATCTAATGTTGTCGAAGAATCCATTGACAAATGTGATGACAGGTATGTAGTATCTGTCGCCATCATTGCCACTGTTGTCTCCTCGTATTGAATGAATATTTTGATGATTTAAATATTGTTCATTGCAGTAATTTATACATACATTGTATGTCCTTAAAAGTGGAGATTTAACCAAATTGGAGAACAAGTGATGGTTTGATAGCTCAGAATGCCGAACGATCCTATAAACTACATCATTCATGGCTGAATCGTGGTTAAAACCCCGTAGTTAACAGGTAAAATCAAATGTCAATCAAATTGCCTGAAGTTGTTTTATTCTGACATTGTTTTGTTAACTTAACAGTACAATTTAAGTACTTTTAACATTATGAAATAAACAAACATTAACGTAAAACAATCATATACAAATGTATTTAAATAACACACTGAATCATTTAACTTAATTAACCATTAAAATTTAATTTGTTAAATGCAAATTTAAATTACAAAAACGGTTAACAATTATCAACACAAATGAGAATTAAATGATCGGTGAATTTAAATGAGTTTTTTCTGATCAGAAAAGTCGGTTACTTTTACCACTTTTACTACTATTATCTACAATGAAATGATACCCTCCTTCAGACTTTTTGCTTGGGTTTGGCACCAGATGTGATGAATAGCCGTCTCGAACGCTATTTAATTAAATTATAATTGAATATATATTTAAATTCAACACATATTTGTGACAATTACATGTATGTAAATACCTTTTATCGATATTACTCATGAAAATGACAGAAATGTTTGAGATATTGATGTCTTCTTTCTTGATCTCATTGAGAAATGTAAACGGATTTAATATCTGCGAAGCCTTAACTAAATCACCGATAAGTGTTGTTTCGTATTGGATATCAATTTCAGTGATTTGTCCCAAATGTTGTTGACTGGTGTACAAGAAGTTATATGTGGTTGTGTTGGGATAGGCGTAAAATTTTCTTTTAAATGTCACCGTTTGTGTGCCATTCAGTTTAAACTCAATTTTACCCTCATATTTGACGGTGTCGTCCATTTTCAACTACAAGACAATACATGGTATGTAATTAATACAATCTTATCTAGGTGATTTATAAGAAATACCTCGATCATATAGTGAAATACACAATAGGGAGGTGTGCCAGAGGTTAGCATATATAGATTTTGGGGGTAATTTTGCTGTACGTCAACCAAATTGTCGGGTTTAAGCCAAAACTCGGGCAAATACTCAATAAGTTTGCACTTTTTACCATCATTGCCGCAATCCGAGCACAAGCCCTCCTGAAAGTTTATATAACTCTTGCATTGATAGCCAACCCATTGGCACTCTTCCTGCTCTGGCGTGTGATTTGTATTGTCTCTTAATAAGCGTTCAGCGATTGGCAGTTCAGTGGCCCTCATGTGTGAACACGCCATACGATTGCCAAATGCTGTGTTGTTTAGTAAAACATATATTGACATGATATATAAAATATAGTTAATTAATTTACAATACCAAGTAAACCCCCGGTTATAGCCTTAAAAGCATCTAGACTCTCTTCGCAACCGGGCTGTCCGTTACCTACAAAATAAAATTATTAGTTTCGTGTATCAATAAACATGTTAATAGTATTATAAATTAACC